AACTCCCATGATGCTCTAACAGCGAGGAACTACACTTCCCGTCGTGCCTCGTGCAGAGGTAGGCGTGGCCTGAACGGTTCCCTATAAATAGGCCCCACCGGACGGCGCGCGCCCCTCTCGGCCGCCGCCATCTTGGTGCCTTCACCGGCCGCCGCCTCCATCCGCCGCCATCCGCCTCCATCCGCCGCCCCCCGCCCGCCGGGACTGAGCGGGGCTCCGCAGAACCGCCATGAGGGCCAAGGTGAGCGGCGGGGGTGGCCGATGGCGCCTCAGTACGGGCCGGGCCTGGATGGAGGAGGGGTGGGGGGAGCTGCGGCCTGGACGAGCCCCGGGGGCGGGGGGCCCGGTGAGGGGAACCGGGCAACGGGAGGGGGTCGTGGTGTACGGTTGGGGGGTCCCTGGGGGTGTCTTTGCTGGGAGGAATGTGGGGGGAAACTGGGAGAACTGGGAGAGAGAAGCTGGGGTAGGACTGGGGGGAACTGGAGGCACTGGGGGAGCTGAACCAGTGTGGGACTGGGGCAGGGAGAGAGAAACCAGTGTGGGACTGGGAAACTGAGAGCTAAACCAGTGTGGGACTGGGGCAGGGAGAGAGAAACCAGTGTGGGACTGGGAAACTGAGAGCTAAACCAGTGTGGGACTGGGGCAGGGAGAGAGAAACCAGTGTGGGACTGGGAAACTGAGAGCTAAACCAGTGTGGGACTGGGGCAGGGAGAGAGAAACCAGTGTGGGACTGGGAAACTGAGAGCTAAACCAGTGTGGGACTGGGGCAGGGAGAGAGAAACCAGTGTGGGACTGGGAAACTGAGAGCTAAACCAGTGTGGGACTGGGGCAGGGAGAGAGAAACCAGTGTGGGACTGGGAAACTGAGAGCTAAACCAGTGTGGGACTGGGGCAGGGAGAGAGAAACCAGTGTGGGACTGGGAAACTGAGAGCTAAACCAGTGTGGGACTGGGGCAGGGAGAGAGAAACCAGTGTGGGACTGGGAAACTGAGAGCTAAACCAGTGTGGGACTGGGGCAGGGAGAGAGAAACCAGTGTGGGACTGGGAAACTGAGAGCTAAACCAGTGTGGGACTGGGGCAGGGAGAGAGAAACCAGTGTGGGACTGGGAAACTGAGAGCTAAACCAGTGTGGGACTGGGGCAGGGAGAGAGAAACCAGTGTGGGACTGGGAAACTGAGAGCTAAACCAGTGTGGGACTGGGGCAGGGAGAGAGAAACCAGTGTGGGACTGGGAAACTGAGAGCTAAACCAGTGTGGGACTGGGGCAGGGAGAGAGAAACCAGTGTGGGACTGGGAAACTGAGAGCTAAACCAGTGTGGGACTGGGGCAGGGAGAGAGAAACCAGTGTGGGACTGGGAAACTGGGAGCTAAACCAGTCTGGGACTGGGGCAGGGAGAGAGAAGCCAGTGTGGGACTGGGAAACTGGGAGAGAAACCCGTCTGGGACTGGGGGCACTAAGAGGACCAAACTGGTGTGGGACTGGGGACACTGAGGGAAATAAACCAGTACGGAACTGGGGGCACTGGGACAGCCAAACCAGTGGGACTGGGGACACGGAGGGAAATAAACCAGTACGGAACTGGGGGCACTGGGACAGCCAAACCAGTGGGACTGGGGACACGGAGGGAAATAAACCAGTATGGGACTGGTGGGGACTGGGAGGGACAGAACAGTGTGGGACTGGGGGCACTGGGGGGCACTGGGAGCACAGTTTGCACTGGGAGCACTGGTGGGTACTGGGGGGCACTGGGAGCACTGGTGGGTACTGGTGGGTACTGGGAGTCCCTGGGGGTTACTGGTTACACTGGTGGGCAGCGGTGGGTACTGGGATCACTGGGAGACCTGGTGGGCACTGGGAGGCGCTGGTTTCACTGGTGGGCACTGGGAGGCACTGGTTACACTGGGAGGCGCTGGTTACACTGGTGGGCATTGGGAGCACTGGTTACACTGGGAGGCGCTGGTTTCACTGGGAGCACTGGTTTCACTGGTGGGCACTGGGAGGCACTGGTTACACTGGGAGGCGCTGGTTACACTGGTGGGCATTGGGAGCACTGGTTACACTGGGAGGCGCTGGTTTCACTGGGAGCACTGGTTTCACTGGTGGGCACTGGGAGGCACTGGTTACACTGGGAGGCGCTGGTTACACTGGTGGGCATTGGGAGCACTGGTTACACTGGGAGGCGCTGGTTTCACTGGGAGCACTGGTTTCACTGGTGGGCACTGGGAGGCACTGGTTACACTGGGAGGCGCTGGTTACACTGGTGGGCATTGGGAGCACTGGTTACACTGGGAGGCGCTGGTTTCACTGGGAGCACTGGTTTCACTGGTGGGCACTGGGAGGCACTGGTTACACTGGGAGGCGCTGGTTACACTGGTGGGCATTGGGAGCACTGGTTACACTGGGAGGCGCTGGTTTCACTGGGAGCACTGGTTTCACTGGTGGGCACTGGGAGGCACTGGTTACACTGGGAGGCGCTGGTTACACTGGTGGGCATTGGGAGCACTGGTTACACTGGGAGGCGCTGGTTTCACTGGGAGCACTGGTTTCACTGGTGGGCACTGGGAGGCACTGGTTACACTGGGAGGCGCTGGTTACACTGGTGGGCATTGGGAGCACTGGTTACACTGGGAGGCGCTGGTTTCACTGGGAGCACTGGTTTCACTGGTGGGCACTGGGAGGCACTGGTTACACTGGGAGGCGCTGGTTACACTGGTGGGCATTGGGAGCACTGGTTACACTGGGAGGCGCTGGTTTCACTGGGAGCACTGGTTTCACTGGTGGGCACTGGGAGGCACTGGTTACACTGGGAGGCGCTGGTTACACTGGTGGGCATTGGGAGCACTGGTTACACTGGGAGGCGCTGGTTTCACTGGGAGCACTGGTTTCACTGGTGGGCACTGGGAGGCACTGGTTACACTGGGAGGCGCTGGTTACACTGGTGGGCATTGGGAGCACTGGTTACACTGGGAGGCGCTGGTTTCACTGGGAGCACTGGTTTCACTGGTGGGCACTGGGAGGCACTGGTTACACTGGGAGGCGCTGGCACTGGTTACACTGGTGGGCACTGGGAGGCGCTGGTTTCACTGGGAGCACTGGTTTCACTGGGAGCACTGGTTACACTGGGAGCACTGGTTTCACTGGTGGGCGCTGGTTTCACTGGTGGGCACTGGGAGCACTGGTTTCACTGGTGGGCACTGGGAGGCGCTGGTTACACTGGGAGCACTGGTTTCACTGGTGGGCACTGGGAGGCACTGGTTTCACTGGTGGCACTGAGATCGCTGGGGGTGCTGGGGTCACCAGTGGGCACTGGTTTCACTGGTGGGCACTGGGAGCACTGGTTACACTGGTGGGCACTGGTTACACTGGTGGGCACTGGGAGGCGCTGGTTTCACTGGTGGGCACTGGTTTCACCGGTGGGCGCTGGTTTCACCGCTCTCACCCCGTCCCTCTCTCTCCCCGCAGTGGCGCAAGAAGCGAATGCGCAGGTACGTGAGAGCCCCGGGCCGGCCCCGCCGCACCGGGGGGCTCCCGCTGCCCTCCCGGTTCCCTCCCGGTTCCCTCCCTCTGCCCCTCCCGCCCCGGTTCCCTCCCGGTGCCCTCCCGCCCCGGTTCCCTCCCGGTGCCCTCCCGGTTCCCTCCCGGTGCCCTCCCGGTGCCCCTCCCGGTGCCCTCCCGCCCCGGTTCCCTCCCGGTGCCCTCCCGCCCCGGTTCCCTCCCGGTGCCCTCCCGGTTCCCTCCCGGTGCCCTCCCGGTGCCCCTCCCGGTGCCCTCCCGCCCCGGTTCCCTCCCGGTGCCCTCCCGGTTCCCTCCCGGTGCCCTCCCGGTGCCCCTCCCGGTGCCCTCCCGCCCCGGTTCCCTCCCGGTGCCCTCCCGGTTCCCTCCCGGTGCCCTCCCGGTGCCCCTCCCGGTGCCCTCCCGCCCCGGTTCCCTCCCGGTGCCCTCCCGGTTCCCTCCCGGTGCCCTCCCGGTGCCCCTCCCGGTGCCCTCCCGCCCCGGTTCCCTCCCGGTGCCCTCCCGGTTCCCTCCCGGTGCCCTCCCGGTGCCCCTCCCGGTGCCCTCCCGCCCCGGTTCCCTCCCGGTGCCCTCCCGGTTCCCTCCCGGTGCCCTCCCGGTGCCCCTCCCGGTGCCCTCCCGCCCCGGTTCCCTCCCGGTGCCCTCCCGGTTCCCTCCCGGTGCCCTCCCGGTGCCCCTCCCGGTGCCCTCCCGCCCCGGTTCCCTCCCGGTGCCCTCCCGGTTCCCTCCCGGTGCCCTCCCGGTGCCCCTCCCGGTGCCCTCCCGCCCCGGTTCCCTCCCGGTGCCCTCCCGGTTCCCTCCCGGTGCCCTCCCGGTGCCCCTCCCGGTGCCCTCCCGCCCCGGTTCCCTCCCGGTGCCCTCCCGGTTCCCTCCCGGTGCCCTCCCGGTGCCCCTCCCGGTGCCCTCCCGCCCCGGTTCCCTCCCGGTGCCCTCCCGGTTCCCTCCCGGTGCCCTCCCGGTGCCCCTCCCGGTGCCCTCCCGCCCCGGTTCCCTCCCGGTGCCCTCCCGGTTCCCTCCCGGTGCCCTCCCGGTGCCCCTCCCGGTGCCCTCCCGCCCCGGTTCCCTCCCGGTGCCCTCCCGGTTCCCTCCCGGTGCCCTCCCGGTGCCCCTCCCGGTGCCCTCCCGCCCCGGTTCCCTCCCGGTGCCCTCCCGCCCCGGTTCCCTCCCGGTTTCCTCCCGGTGCCCCGGGCCGGCCCCGGGNNNGGGGGGGGTCTCCGGTAACGGGGGAGCGGGGTGGAGGTCCCGCCGGTAACGGGGCTGGGGATCCCCGGTAACGGGGCTGGGGGGATCTGCCACGAACAGGAGACGGTCAGAACCGCGGGTTCTCTTTGGTGGGGCCGGCGAGCGGCACCGGGAATCCTCCGGTAACGGAGCAGGTGGGTGGGACCGGAGGGAGGAATTTAACGGTAACGGGGCCAGCGCGCTGGTTCCTCCGGTAACCGGAAGCGTGGGCGGGAGCGGGGTGAGGAATCCCCGGTAACCGTGAGCATGGACCGGGCTCCTTCCGAGCCCACCGGGACCAGGAAGTTCCGGTATCTCCGACGCGCACCCAGCGCGACGGCGGCTCGCTCCGATGACGTCACGGTGACGCATTTCCTGCGCGCCGGGCCGCGCGGGTCCTTCCGGGCCGCCCCGGAAGCGGCGCCGAGCGGGTCCCGCCCGCCGCCGGCACCGGCCGCGCGTTGGTGGCGCCGGAGGCCCCGCGGGGAGGCCGCGAGCCGGTGAGTACCGGGCCGGGGGAGGCCGCGCTCCGCCAGGCCCCGCCGCGGGCGGTGCGGCTCCGTGCCCGTCACGGGGAGCGGGGGAAGCGCCGGGGATCCGCGCCGGGCTCGCTCCCGTCCCTCTCCCCCCGCCCGGTGCCCCGCGGTCGGTGTTTTCTCCTCCGCACCGTTACCGGAATCTGTCCCGGTGCCCCGGCGTGGCCGTTTCTGCCCTTCTCACCGGTACCGGCGCCGCTCCCGGTCCCTCTCTCGGTGCCCGGGCTGGGTGAATCCTCTCCCCCCGTCCCGGGGTCCCTCCCGGTTCTTCCTCCGCCGCTGGCAGCGCTCCCGGTCCCTCGCTCGGTGCCCGGTGCCCCGGGGTGGGAGTGAGTCCCCCCATTCCCTCTCCCTCCCTCCCTCCCTTCTCCGGTGCCCCCTCCCGGTGCCCTGGGGCGGGTGTCGACCCTCTCCCCATCAGTACCGGGGTCCCTCCCAGTTCCTCCCTCCTCCGGTCACCCCTCAGGGTGCCCCAGGGTGGGAGTGAGTCCCCCCATTCCCAGTCCCTTCCTCCCTCCCTCTCTCCCAGTACACCAGGGTGGCACTCCCACCATTCTCAGCGTCCCTCCCTCTCTCCCTCCCGCTGTCCCTCCCTCCCCGTCCCTCCCTCTTCCAGCGACCCCTCCGGGTGCCCCAGGGTGGGAGTGAGTCCCCCCATTCCCTCTCCCTCCCTCCCTCCCTCCCTCCCGGCCCGCGACGGCTACGCCGGCCCCGGCGGCGGCGGCGGCGGCGGCGGCAGCGGCGACGAGTCGTCCTCGGGCGCCGACGACATCTGCCGCGACTTCCTGCGCAACGTCTGCAAGCGCGGCAAGCGCTGCCGCTTCCGGCACCCCGACATCTCCGAGGTCACCAACCTGGGCGTGCGCAAGAACGAGTTCATCTTCTGCCACGACTTCCAGAACAAGGAGTGCGTGCGCCTCAACTGCCGCTTCATCCACGGCACCAAGGAGGACGAGGATTCCTACAAGAAGACGGGCGAGCTGCCGCCGCGCCTGCGCCAGAAGGTGGCGGCCGGCTTGGGCTTGTCGCCGGCCGATTTGCCCAACAGCAAGGAGGAGGTGCCGATCTGCCGGGATTTCCTCAAGGGGGATTGCCAGCGCGGCGCCAAGTGCAAGTTCCAGCACCTGCAGCGGGACTACGAGCAGGGGCTGGGCCGCCGCTACGAGCCCTACGACGGGCTCTACGAGCCCGACGAGCCGGTGCTGAAACGGCGGCGGGCCGAGGGGCTCTACGAGAGCTACGAGTACGGCTTCGCCAGCCCGCGGGCCGTGGAGTACCGGCTGCTGGAGGAGGAGAACGTGCTGCTGCGCAAGCGCGTGGAGGACCTCAAGAAGCAGGTCAACAACCTGCTGGCCACCAACGAGGTGCTGCTGGAGCAGAACGCTCAGTTCCGCAACCAGGCCAAGGTGATGACGCTCAGCTCCACGGCCGCGGCCACCGAGCAGACTCTGGCGCCCGCGGTGGGCACGGTGACCGGCTACAACCACGGCATCGCCCAGACGCACACCACGCTCAGCAGCCAGGCCCTGCAGCCTCGCCCCGTCACCCAGCAGGATTTGGTGGCGCCGGCGGGCGCCCAGGCCGCCCCTCCGGCCAACGCCGCGCCGCCCATGAACCCCGAGATCGCGCCGCTGTCGGCGGCGCTGGCGCAGACCATCGCGCAGGGCATGGCGCCGCCGCCCGTCTCCATGGCGCCCGTGGCCGTGTCGGTGGCGCCGGTGGCCGTGTCCATGGCGCAGCCGCTCGGCGGCATCACCATGAGCCACGCCACCACGCCCATGGTCACCTACCCCATCGCCTCGCAGAGCATGAGGATAACGGCCATGCCGCACTGACCGCTGGGGACGGACGGACGCACGGACAGACGGACGCGGGGTGTGCCACCCCCTCCCGGTGCTGGAGGGGGGCGGTGGGTGCGGCCCCCGGGGCGCCGTGGGCGGACTGAGCCGCCGGGGGCGGCGCCGGGGGCGGCTCCCGGTGCCCCTGTAATGTTTTCGGCTATTAAAACGAACGGAAAAAAAACCCAAAAAAAAAAAAAAGCCCAAACCCGCACGGGCTCGGCTGTGCCGGTAGGGCCGGGGAGCTGGGGGGACACCGGGACCGGGACACCGGGACCCGGACACCGGGACCGGGACACCGGGACCGGGACACCGGGACCGGGACACCGGGGCATGGCCACGCCCCTCACCGAGACCACGCCCACATAGCAAATAAAGGCGTGGCCAAGTTTTGGCGGACTGCCCATGAGTGACGCGCGTGGGCGTGGCCGTAGGGGGGCCCGCCGCTCAGTGGGCGTGGCCACGGTCTGGCTGGCGTCCAACGGGCGGCGCGTGCGTGTGGGTGGGCGTGCCCCGCGCCGCGCCGCTCGGCCAATCAGCGCCGCGTGCGTGCGCGGGGCGCGGCCGGGGCGGTGCCGCGNAACCCCGGCGGGATCCCCGCACCGGGCACGGGACCCCCGCACCGGGCACGGGATTCCCGCACCGGGCACGGGACCCCCGCACCGGGCACGGGATCCCCGCACCGGGCATGGGACCCCCGCACCGGGCACGGGATCCCCGCACCGGGCACGGGACCCCCGCACCGGGCACGGGATTCCCGCACCGGGCACGGGACCCCCGCACCGGGCACGGGACCCCCGCACCGGGCACCGCCTCTCCCCCGCTGGGACCCGCGGGGGTTGGGAAGCGCAGCCCCCCCGCCCTCTCCCCCGGTGGGACCCCCGGAGGTTCCCCCGGTTCTGCCGCGCTGCGGGCACCGCTTGAGCTCCCCGCAGCCCCGGGGGGGTTCCCGGTGTTTTGCTCCGCTCCGGGTCCCGCTTGGCGCACCTGGGGACCCCCCCCCCAG